CTTCTCCCATCGGCAATGTAACGAGGTGACTTTTGAGTCAACTAGGTGACTTTTGAGTCAACTAGGTGATTTTTGAGTCGACTCAAAAGCCACCTCTGCATTCTCCTCTTCTCCATCGGCAAGAACGTGTCGAAAAGGGTGTTGCTGCATCAAGGGGCTTCAAGTACCGACTCACATGCCCGTGGTGGTTGTCTCTCCCTTGACTGTGTTCTCTTCTCCCATCGGCGAGAACGTGCCGAAGAGTCTGCTTTTGAGTCGACTCAAAAGATGACTGTATCCCAACTCACATGCCCGTAGTGGTTGCCTCTCCCCCTGCTGCATTCTCCTCTTCTCCCGTCGGCAAGAACGTGCCGAAAAGGGTGTTGCTGCATCAAGGGGCTTTAAGTCACGACTCACATGCCCGTGGTGGTTGTCTCTCCCTCGGCTGCATTCTCCTCTTCCCCCGTTGGCAAGAACGTGCCAAAGAGTTTTTGGCTGCTGCCCGGCTCCTGGAGCGACGCCATGGGCAGCTTGAAGGGCTCTCCGCCGTCGGATCGCAGCTGGACGGCTGAGATCGCCCAGTCGGTCTGGTACATGGTGACCCCCTGGCAGCGCAGGGGGTCGTTGACGCTGATGGTTTTTCTCTGGAGCTCCCTACCATAGAGGTCCGTGACTGAGAGGTCTGAGAAGAACTGCTTCACCTGTTCTAGGTAGGGGGGTGCAAGGAGGGGGGAAACAGGGGGCAATGGGGGCAGCAGCGGTCGTTGACGCTGATCGTTTTCCTCTTGAGCTCCTGCCCGTAGAGATCCGTCAGTGAGAGGTCTGAGAAGAACTGCTTCAACTGGTGTAGGGAGGAGGGGGGAAGGGAGGGGAGGGATAGTAGGAGGGGATAACGCTGGTACTCAGTGTAGAAACGACTCACGGGCACAAGCATGCTCATGGCAGTGGGATTGTCGTTTTGAGTCGACTCAAAGCGAAACTACTTACACACACGCTGGCACTCGATGTCGAAATGATTCACGGGAGCATGCTCATGGCAGTGGTAGTGTCCGAACTTCCCCCCTCCCCCCTGCAAACCTCCCTCCCACCTCCTCACCTCTCCATTCGGCCGATACTCGATATAGAACCGGTTGACGTGCACGAGCATGTTCATAGTGGTAGCAGTGTTCGAGTCAGAGCTGCCCATTTACCTCTCAACTCCGTACCTCTCCATTCGGCCGGTACTCAATGTAGAACCGGTTCACATGCACGAGCATGTTCATGGCGGTAGTAGGCCGGGCAAAGATGCTGTTTCCCTGAAGCGCAGTGGGTACAACCACGTCTAACCCCTGCGGCGTCATGGTAGTGCCTTGGAACCCCCCCAGCGCACTGTAGCACCCCCCAGCCATGACCAATAGCAGCGCAGCGTGCACGCCAATGGGGGCTAGCCGCCCCACTAGGCCTTTGAACGCATATAACGAGGATCCTTTCTGGAAGACCTGGAGGGGAGAAGTGGAGGGGGGAGGAGCAGCGGGAAGGGAAGGTAAGACAAGCTGTTACCCAGCAGCGTGCATGCACAGCAATAGGGGCGAGCCGGCCCACAACAAGCCCTTGAAAGCATATAACGAGGAATCCTTTCTGGAAGGCCTGGAGGGAAAAGAGTGCGGGAGGAGAAAGGGAAGAGGAGGAGGAGAGGGGGAGGAACGGGAGGAGAGACATGGAGGGCAGGAAGGGGGAGGGAGAGAAGGCAGTTGGGTCTCCAAGGGTCGTTGAAGTCAACAGGAAAGAGAGAGGGTTCAGTGAAAGCGGAATGGGCAGGGCGAGCAATAGGAAAGGGAGAAGGAAAAAGAGCCACCTGATAGTCTTTAGTCTGAGCAGGAGCACTGCCGTCTATTGGTCCCACCTGATAGTCTTCACGCATGAGCAGAGTTGCCAGGTCAGCAAGCTGCGCTCGCTCCAGCGAATCAGAGAAGTCCATCTGGCGGAGGGACTCTGGCCGTTGGATGAAGGACCACCTGATTGGTTGAGGTGAGGGTTTCAGGGAAAGGGGAGGGGCAGGGGCGGGGGAGGGAGAGGGAGGAGGGAGGAAGAGAGAACGAAGCATCAGCCATCATCCATAAGCCATCAGCCATAAGCCATCAGCCATCAGCCATCAGCCATCAGCCACCTCTCACATCCCCCTGTTCACCTCCCGCCTATCATACCCTCTCTCACCTCTGAGTGACCTTGAGCAGTGGCAGCTGCTGCAGTGACTGACGTGCACGCAGCAAGGGAGGCAGCGAGCAGCAGCAGATGAGTCTTGACTGTTGAACCCCAGCAAGCCACCTTACTGCTCACCTCTGAGCGACCTTGAGCAGTGGCAGCTGCTGCAGTGACTGACGTGCACGCAGCAAGGGAAGCAGAAAGAAGCAGCAGCAGCAGCAGCAGCAGCAGCAGTGGCGGCGGCGGTGGCAGCAACAGCAGCAGACATCAGCTACATCTCACCTGCTCCATCTCACATCCCTCCTCTCATGCGCTCACCTCTGAGCGACTTTGAACATGGACTGGATAGCAGGCAGCAAGGGAGGCGGCGAGCAGCAGCAGCAGCAGCAGAGGATGACTCCTGAGCCCACTCAAGAGTCGCTCAGAGGTCAGTGCCTAACCCTATCTCTCACATCTGATCGACTTTGAGCATCGGTAGCTGCCGCACCGAAGTGCAGGCAGCAAGGGAGGCGGCGAGCAGCAGCAGAAGCAATAGGACAATGCCTAACCCCGCAGCTCACCTCTGAGCGACCTTGAGCATGGGCAGCTGGCGCACTGACGTGCACGCAGCAAGGGAGGCGGCGAGCAGCAGCAGCAGGGAGAGGAAGAGCGGCGAGCTGTACACGTGGTCGAAACCCAGAGCCAACACGAGCTGGAGGATCCAGATTGGAAGGGATGTATGGGGTTCAGTGGGAAGGGATGGTGAAAGGTCCAAGCCCCAATAGCAGGAGCAGCAGGGAGAAGAAGAGCGGCGAGCTGTACTCGTGGTCGAAGCCCCGAGCCAAGATGAGCTGAATGGGAAGGGGGGGGGTGTATGGTTTTCGATGGGCAAGATTGGTGAAAGACAAGCTGCAACAGTAGGGGTGGGAGAAAGAGCATAGTGTGAGCTTGTGATGATGAGCATAGTGAGCATAGTGTCATCTTGTGATGATGAGCATAGTGAGCATAGTGTCAGCTTGTGATGATGAGCATAGTGAGCATAGTGTCAGCTTGTGATGATGAGCATAGTGAGCATAGTGTGAGCTTGTGATGATGAGCATAGTGGTGAGCATAGTGTCAGCTGATTGGGTGTCAGGCGCACCGCACCAACTCAGCATCAGAAAATAAATTCTGAGATGTCTCAAACTAAACTACTTAACCAAGATTATAGTGCCAGGCACGCCAACTTAGCATCAGAAGATGAGTTTAGGGATGATGATACTCTTGGAACCTCAGACTGGACGAATCAGCATGCAGTCTGCCACATCAGCATCCATCTACTCGCAGCCACGTCAGAACGCACCTGCCAGTTCAGCAGAGTGCCGTCAGGAAAGAGTGCCACGTAATCTGCTGGCCGCGCTCCCTGCTCTATCAGGGTGCCTGGATGGGGGGGTGGTGGAATGGAATGGGGAGGGGGGGAAGGAGAAAGGGGGGGGGAAGAGTAAACACAAAGGAAGGGGTGAGCTAAAGGAAAGGAGGGGGGGTGGAAGGAAGCGGGTAGGGGGAGGGTGAGAGGCGACAACAATGGGTCTGCTGGTTGCGCTCCCTTTTGAGTCGACTCAAAAACCAGTCTGCTGGTTGCGTTCCCCTGCTGTGTCTTAGCCTGTCGGACGTGGGGTGTGGGGAAGAGAAAGGTAAGACCCCACGTTGTTGCATGACGAGTGATAAGATTCAGGCATTCACATTGCGAGCGCGTCCACACATGCAACATCAACGCACCCACAGCACAGAGACCAGCCACGGCGGACAGCAGTCCGATCGCGAGGGGGAACGACACACTACTCTCTCCGCACGCATTCATGCATTCATGCATTCAAGCATCCAAGCATTCATGCATCGAAGCATGCACACACAGAGAGAGTACACGCAAGCACGCTACTTTAACCCACCCACAGCACAGAGACCAGCCACGGCGAAGAGCAATCCGATCGCGAGCGGGAACGACGCGAGTCGCCTCAGCGTGCCTCGCCATAGGGCCTCCACCAAGCTAGGATTAGGAGGACTCCCACCCCCACCGCCGCTGCCGCCGCCACCGCTACTGTCACCTCTCCGTTCGGTCACGGCGCGCGTTTTGAGGCTCCTCGAGCCAGCGCTACTGTCACCTCGCGGCTCTGCCACGGCGCGGGTCACTTGAGGCGGAGGTCTGGAGTTGCGAGCGCGGAATGCGGCGGGATTCGCGGCGGGTTTCGAGGAGGTTGGCGCTAGGAACGGTGTAGGACGAGGGAAGGGGCGGGAAGTCGATCGGATGCGCGAGAGAGAGGAGGAGGCACACAGCCGAGATCTCGAGCTGAAAGTACTAGACGCTGGGGCCACTGGGGAAGTCAGGGATGGGAATGGCGGGAGGCCTCTCGCCGTTGCTAATCGTAGAGAGCAAATCGCAGCCATGTCTACCCTTGGAGCACAGCAGAGAGCAGCTAGCAGCGAGCAGAGAGCAAAGAACAGAGAGCAGAGAGCAGAGAGCAGAGAGCAAGGCTCAGGTTGCGAATCTCGTCTGGTAGCAGGCAACGAGGAGCTTGTATCGAGGGACTGGATGCACTTAATGATCCTCAGGCTAAAAAACTGTCGAAACGACTAGCTATGCATTCACGTCCCTCCGCTGTAAGATGCCCGTCACATGAACGCGTAGGGAGGATCGCAGGCTACCACTGCGAGAGAATGCGCCGTGAATCGCGGCGGAGGATAACGCGGCGCTGCAGTGACAAGAACGCAGCCTGGAGAGGAAGGTGATGTGGTTGAGGAAGGTATGGCATTTATGTATGGTCCGCTTTGGAGCAGGCTCTGGTGGCCAGGAAATGGTCGGTTCGGGTCACACCTAGAGATTGTCGACAAACCACGTGTAAAGCTGCCTCCATGTCTGTACGCGGTATAGTTCCCTCCGTCAAAACTAACCAATATTGTACAAACTTCTACTTCCTAAGTAATGCTTAAGTCAATAATGTGGTCTTATTTTCAGTTTACATGAAGGGTGACTTCTCCAAATGCGTGCGACCAAAGCAGCATTGATCATCTTGAAAGCTTGAGCTTGAAAGACTCCATTGCCGCGACTAGCTGTTCACCAATGCCTCTTTCGTTGGCAGAATGCCCAGCATCTGGAACAACCTGTTACCACAAGGACCCCAGACGGGAGGAAGAGCGGATATTGCGGAGAGCAAGGGAACAGCACGCGAGAGAAAAGAAGAGGGAGAAAAGAGAGCAGCAAGCAGCGTAAGGTTGCATGGCATGTGGAGGGAGAACGCGGAGTCCATGCATGGCATTACCACGTCTTAAGCTTTGCTTCGTTATGACCGTACCTTGAACTCAGCTTCGGGCCAGGCCTTGTGGAGCTCCCAAGCCGACACGATAGGGCACACCACGTCGTACCGACCCTGATGGCCGCAGGGAGAACAAGTGAGAGAGCAGGAAACAGTGCGAGTGAGTAAACAGCAGGGAATAACATCACGAGCAGCACGAGCCAAGCTGAGCAGGAAATATGTGAGCAGAGCCGAGTAACATCTGGATTATGGGAGCAACAGCACGAGTGTGTCTGCTTAGACACTTCACATCCTACTTGCACAATGACAGCTGGCATATGTCGGAACCTGGGCAAAGAATCAAGCAGGAAGGAGTCGGATGGGGAACGTTTTTTTTTTTTTTTTAATCTCACATTGAGACATTTATCAAATTACCTGCACAATGACGGCTGGGATGTGTTTGAACTTGGGCACAGAGTCTAGCAGGAAGGAGTCCGAAGGCAGGAAGCCCTTGTTCACAAAGTAGTGGCTCTCGATGCGGGCAAACGCCTGCAGAAACAGGACGTGGAAGGGTGAATAAGGAGATATGATATGGATTCTGAGTCAGAGGGCGAGTGTTGTAATGGCACTCAAACAAAAAGAAACACAGGGGAAAAAGAAAGGCCCAAAAAAAGAAACTTGCCAGCGCGAATTTGTCGTCTTCGCCGCGCTTGAGCGAATCCTCATTGGGCAGCAGGTAGCTGGTGGCCATCTCCCACTCCGTCCAGTGCCGCGCTGCTGCCACCTGCAGGAGTATGGGAGAAAGTGTGAGGTCGAAAGGGATGGGGATGGGGTGCACAGCTTGAGGCAGCGGGTAGCTGGAGGACATTTCCCATTCAATCCAGTGTTGTGCCGCTGCCACCTGGTGTCATGCCAAAAGGGGTGGGGGGATATAGGGCAATACAGGGATGGGCAGCAGGTAGCTGGTGGCCATCTCCCATTCCGTCCAGTGCCGCGCTGCTGCCACCTGGAGGAAATTGGGAAGAGAGCGTAGGGATTGAGAGTGAAAAGTACTGAGTGTGCTTGGTACTACCATATTAGACCGTGAGGAGGAGCAGGTACCTACCATTCGGTCCAGTGCCGCGCTGCTGCCACTTGCAGCAGACAGAGTAGGAGATGTTCGGAAAGAACAGCAGGAGGCAGACAGGACCTAATTCAAGAGTCTCCCACCTGCCTCCGAACGGAGGGCATCACAGGCAGCAGGCAGGTGGATGAATTAGGTTCGGAGTCAGCCATACCTGCTGATCAGGCTCAGAGTCATCTGTACCTGCTGGACAGGGTCGGATGCATCCATACCTGTTGGTCAGGCTCAGAGTCGTTCATGAGTCTCTTGTGGTATGCCGCCACCAAATCATGCTGCTCGTCCTTGGGGATAAACTCCCGGTACTTGTCAAACGCTGAGAGGAGCGGCGGAGAAGGTGGGGGGAGAGGAAGGAAGGGCGGGGGAAGGGGGGGCATGTAATAGACACGTGCTGAGCGTGGTTGTGTCCAGATCATGCTGCTCCTCCTTGGGCATAAACTCCCGGTACTTGTCAAACGCTGAGAGGAAGCCGGTTGAGGAAGGGAAGGGGGGGAGAGGTATAGAGAGTAGCTCACGCTAGGAGCAATGTGCTTTCAGATCATGCTGCTCGTCCTTGGGGATACACCCCCGGAGAGACGGTGGTGGGAAGGGGGGGTGGTGTGGGGCGTGGGGAGGGGAAGAGTGGGAAGGGGTACAGAGAGAGGCACGTGCTGAGGGCAACGATCTCCAGATTATGCTGCTCTTCGTTGGCGATAAACCCCCGGTACTTGTCAAATGCTTTTTATCATGGCGGATATGCAGGGGTAAGGGGAAAAGGTCAAGAAGCACCAAAAGCCAGAATCGCGTCACGGTCAAACTCCTCTTACCATCTGGGAAGATAGAATCAGCTCCCTTCTGATAGAACCGCTCCACTTCCTTCCTTCTTTCTGTTTTCCAGTGGCTAGACAGAAAGCCACGCAACAAAAGCAAGACACCTTCCTTCTTACCACCATCAATCAACCCATGCTTACCATCAGGGAAGATGGAGTCAGCTCCCTTCTGATAGAACCACTCCACTTCCTTCCTCCTCAGCAGGAATATCCCCCGAAGAATCAAGCCCGCGACCTGGGGGTGTGAGGGAGACGAGGATGGGGGGGGGATCAGGGGGGTCAGGGAGGTCAGAGGAGTTGGAGGGGGGGTGGGGGGTGAGGGATGTGGGATTTGGGTGCTGATTTTGGAGAGGGAGAACAGGTGAAGCCACGTACAAAGCAGATATTACATGTTTGAACCTCCATTGCTCCCCTTCCCCCCTTTCCCTCCCCCACACATACACATGTATTATCGTACATACCCTTGAATTGCACCACATACCCTGTCTGGATGAGTGGCAGCGTAGACAAGAGAGAGTGTGGAGCCCCATGACCCTCCAAACACCTGCAATGGACACATGCACACACAAAATCACACACACACACACACACACACAAACACACACACAAACACACACACACACACACACAAATACACAAATACACACCAGAGGTAGACGAGACGGAGCGAACTTTAAAAGCCCATCTGCCAACACCCATCTGCCATGCCACATCTGCAAACCGTCTCTTAAAGCTCTGCCAATGCCAACCTCCCAAATCCCTGCCGTCAAATAATATCAACGTGGCAATGGAACCAGACACAAACAAAGGAGGAGGAGAAAACAACTCACACGTTCATCTCGCACATCAGCCGCTTATCACCCCACTCACCAGCCACTTGTCAACCCCCAGGTGTTTCCTCAGGGTCTCAATATCCCCCACCAGATCCCACGTGGTGTTTTCCTCCAAACAGGCATGCGGAGTGCTCCTGCCCGCCCCCCTCTGGTCCATCAGCACGATTCGGAAGAACGCCGGGTCAAAGAACCTCCTGTTGGCTGGGGCCGTGCCTCCCCCTGGCCCTCCGTGCAGGAAAATTACAGGCTGTCATGGGGGAGAAAATGGGACGTGGGAGGGAGGGGAGAGTCAGTGGAGCGCGCTCCTGCCCGCCTCCCTCCGATCCATCAACACTATTCTGAAAACACAGCAAGGCTGCCTCTACCTTGCACATTGCCTGCCATTCAGACAGTCTGATCTGGCCACTGAGCTTTCCTCACCTGGCCCTTGGGGTTGTCGCTCTCCTCCCAGTAGACTGTATGCAAATCCGACACAGCAACGCTGCCGGGTCGACGCAGCTCTGTGGGGCATACGGCTTCTAATCGTTCTAAACACTCTCTCACCTGGCCCTTGGGGTTGCCGCTCTCCTCCCAGTACACCGTATGCACGCCAGACACAGCAAGGCTGCCGGATCTATGCGGCTCAATCGGCGCGTTCAGCTCCATGTGGCCATGCAATCTTCCCACCTTGTCTTTGAAATCGACCCTCACCTGGCCCTTGGGGTTGCCGCTCTCCTCCCAGTACACCGTATGCACGCCAGACACAGCAAGGGTGCCGGATCTATGCGGCTCAATCGGCGCGTACAGCTCTTGTCTCAGCCGCACACGGGCTGCTGGGACGCTGTCGCCCATCTCCTCCCAGGCCTCCTCTGCCTCTCCCCCTCCCCCTGCCTCTCCCTGTCCCCCCTTCCAAAATCCCTCCTTTGCCTCTTTTCCCTCCCTTCCCTGACTGCCGAACGCTGAGGCGTGGCCGGCAGCTGCTGCTATCGGCTTGAGAGATCGAGAATGGTAAGTGCCTGAGGCTTAAATAGGGAAACGGAAGAAGAGATGGCGGCGAGTGGTTTAACAGCTTTAAACGGTTTATACAGTTGACTATCCACAGCATAATTTTTTGGAAAAATCCGGGAGAATACGCCTTGACAGAATATGGGTATCATGACAGAGGGAAATGACGGACATCAGATGAAAGAGGCAGACGGGTTTCGATCGATTCGCGACGTTCACACCTAGTCCGGTGCAAAATGAAGATCGCTGTAGCTGTAGCTCTCCGGTTGGAAGACAGTCGCTCGGTTTGGTCGCAGGATGATATGTGCGGGAAATGGGGGAAATGCTATGGCGAGCGAAGGAAGAAGACGTTGCAACGGTTTGACGGGACCTGCTGCGGAAGGCGACCGAGAGTCGAACGACGACTGCGGAAGTGCTAAGAGATGCTGTGGCAATGGCGGCCATAAATGTTCTCAAGAGTCGGCCAAAATCTCGTCTAAAAAGCCAGCCAATAATATTCACACTGGAAATGGGTGTGAAACTGCCGAGGTGAATGTGAGGGAGCAATTGAACTATCGAAGCCAGCACTCGAGTATTCCCAAGGGAGCAGAAAAGCGATGAAATCGAGGGATCGCGGTCGGTGGGGAATCTGTGGAATAAGTGCAAATATGCTGGTGGATCCATCCTATAAACCATTGTATAAAATGCTCCGTTCTATAATTCTTACATAAATTTTCCATTCCTTTATCCACCACAGAAAATAGCAAACCTTGTAATGCCTCGAAGCCAAACAAAACATTGTACACAATTGTCTCTTCATCTACAGAAGGAAAGCATGAAAAAACGCAGTGGCAGCGTTGAGCCCCATGGTTATAGTCTAACGCACCCCTTCTGGCCCAGAAGGATGGACTTCCCATCCCTTAAAGCCCTTCTAGCGGCGTCCAACCCCTTCTAGCCTTTTCACACGTTCGGAGGCGGCCAGATCTTCTGGAAGTGCTTCTCAACCTTCTCCGTCTGAGCCACAGCGGACTCGATCTCCGCCTGAAGCAAGTGTCGAGCGCATGGCCCAACATTAGCCATGAACCTTGCCATGTCCCAAGGCTTCACCTGCAATAAGCACGGTCAACAACCACTTGCTTAGAAACGTTGTCGAGTAAAGCAGGGAAGAGCGAAGATGAACACACGGGAGGTGGCACAATGACAAAAGCTAGACGAGCACAAGAGGCGGATTCAACTCGCCTTGTCGGCCGAAGCTGCTGCCGCAGCGGGTTTGAGGTCAGCAGAGGCAGGAGAGTCTCTCAGAGCCTCCAGCACCTTGAGCGGAACCACCAGGTAGTCGGTGCTGCAGCAGTACAGGAATGAGAGAGCCGTTTTAAGACGGAAAAAAACACTCTGAGAGGGACCACAAGGTACTGCACGCTGGAATGGTTAGAGCCAGAGTGGACGGCAGGAAACCCGGGAAGGCATACACAAGAGGAGGCTGAGGGAAGTTGAGTCATGAGAATTCTCAAAAGGCATACCCGAGGAGGCTGAGGGAAGTTGAGTCATGAGAATTCTCAAAAGGCATACCCGAGGAGGCTGAGAGAAGTTGAGTCATGAGAATTCTCAAAAGGCATACCCGAGGAGGCTGAGGGAAGTTGAGTCATGAGAATTCTCAAAAGGCATACCCGAGGAGGCTGAGGGCGTCCTGCTTGTTGCGGATGTTGGAAGCCATCACTCTGGTCGGGAAGCCGTTGCGGGAGATGAAGGCACACACGCGGCGCACCTGATGGGCAGCGAGCAGACAGAGAAGGACAGGGATGGGGAGAGGTGGACAGGGATGAGCAGAGGTGGACAGGGATGAGCAGAGGTGGGCAGGGACGAGGAGGGATGCCTTAGAAAATTCTGCAGCAAAAGTTGGAAAAATAGCCCCAATTAGAAAACTGGCGCATCAAACACCTGCCACGCCTAGAAAAATCAAGATCTTGCCTCACAAGAGCCTGCCTTACCAGTCTGACTCCTTATGAGTCGACTCAAAAGATCTTGCCTCACAAGTCCCTGCCTTACAAGAGCCTGCCTCACAAGTCCCTGCTTTACAAGAGCCTTCCCCACAACAGCCTGCCCCACAACAGCCTGCCCCACAACAGCCTGCCCCACAACAGCCTGCCCCACAACAGCCTGCCTTACCAGTCTGACTCCGGGGTCCTCGCCCTTGGCTGCTGCCTCGTCCACTTCCTTGTCGCCCGAGTTTGTGCGCGCCCAGTCCTAAAAAGGAGGGAGGAGGAGGGGAAGGGGAGGGAAGGTAAATGAAGCCTCTTTATCCCCAAGTGGTGCACTTCCTTGTCGCCTGAGTTCGTGCGTGCCCAGTCCTGACAAGGAGGGAGGGAGAATGAACAGAATAAAATCTCTTTGTCCCAAATGCTTTCCCGTGTGTCATGAACGGCCATGTATACTGTGAGTCTAACCCTTGACTCTGCTTCAAGCCGTCTCAAAAGCAAGAGAAGGAGCGGCGGCTTTAGCTTAGCCATGCATATTGTGCTGCCATGTACGTTGTAGTCCTCACCCTGATTCGCCCGACGGGGATCTGAATGACTGAGACGTTGGCCTGCGCACACGCTGACGCCTGGGCGAAACTGCAGGGAGGAGAGAGGGGAAAAAGGGTGGAGGAGGGAGCGGAGAGAAGCGTTATACTGGGGAAATTGAGCCCCACGTCGTCACATATTCATCCCCCCGCCCCCCCTCACCAGCCAACGCCAGTGACTGACACGCGTCTTCACGCCAGTGAATGCCATGCGTCTCCATGCCTTCCTTCCTCCTGCAGGTGCCTCGCAGCCTCTATGCCCTCCCATGTCCCATTCTGTCCACGCCCCGCCCCAACCCACCCCGCCCCGCCCCACCCCGCCCCACCCCACCCCACCCCATTTCATCCCCAGCTGTATAATCGCATCTCACCCCCCTCGCCCGCGCCCCTCACCTGCCAATGCCAGTGACGTGCGTCTTGATGCCTTCCGCCTCCAGGTGCCGCGCGGCCTCGATGCCCTCCCACGTGGCGGGTAGTTTGAAGAGCACGCGGTTCAGAGGCACGTCCACCTCCCTGTAGAGCGCGGCGAGGTTGCGCACCTGGCGATGGGGAAGTAACGGGGCGGGCGGAAGGGAGAGGAGAAACCGGGGAAGCGGGAGGGAGTTAGAGACTAAAGGCTCTCCACGTGGCTGGCGGGTACCTTAAAAGAGCACCCGGTGAAGAGGTACGTCCACCTGCAACCATTCGTACCAACCACCCGGTACAGGACGGCACCATTCCTAATTCCTACCAGCCGTTTGACCGTTGCTCTTAGTAGCAGTGACAGTCGAGCCAGCCACTCACCCGTTCGACCATGGCGGACGTGTTGTGCGCAATCCGCGGGTCCACTTCAGCGGAAGCCCGCCTGGACACCTCAAAACTGGGCTCTTTCCCCACCCACGCAACCACCACCCATGCACCCCTTAAACAGGACTCTTGACACTTCCAAGAGCCACTCACCCGTTCGACCATGGCGGACGTGTTGTGCGCAATCCGCGGGTGCACTTCCGTGGACACCTGCCCGGACACCTCCTTACCAAGCTTCTTTCTCCCACAATCCCCTCAACAAGCCATGCAGCCCTGGCAGGTGGCGGCTGACGCGCCAGTCTCTCACCCGTTCGACCATGGCCGATGTGTTGTGCGCAATCCGCGGGTCCACTTCTGTGGACACACGCCCGGACACATCGAGGCTGAGCTCCTTGCCCACGTTCACCAGCGCCTGCACGGGTGAAGGGGGGTGGGCAGATGGGGGGTGGGTAGATGGGGGGTGGGCAGATGGGGGGTGGGCGCGATGGGGGGTGGCGAGAGGGGCGAGGATGGGGGAAGGTGGAGAAGGAAAGAGAGACCCAGCCGGTGCACTTGAGTAAGCACACGGCCGGATGCCTCGAGGCTGAGCTCCTTGCACACGCTCACCGGCGCCTGCATCACGAGTCATGGGACGGCAGATCCTGAAAATATGCCTCCACCAGTGCCCTGGCTACGGATGCCGTGGCTACGGATGCCGTGGGTGCAGATGCCTTCACCGCAATGAAAAAAGGCATTGTGACGACAAGCGTTAGCACAATGTAACCATAATATTTTTTACTGTACGCCTTCTGATCTTCAGAACTGAAGATTTTTTGGCATAATATAAGATCCATTGCTTGTATCGATGCTCACCTTATCGAGGAAGCAGGAGAGTTTGTCGTCTTCCGCCGCCACCATGCACTTGCCGTACGCCAACGCGCTCTTGATCGCCCCCTATACGCGATACAAGGGCAGATGGCAGACATTAGACATTGCGACAAGGACGGAAACCATGCACTTGCCTCATGCACGCGCTCATGATCGCCTCCTGTACGCGATACAAGGGCAGATGGCAGCCATTGAGAAAACAACGAGTGTCACTTCGAAGCATCACTTTTTTGCGCGGTACGAGCACACGCCTAGACAAGCACACTCCCGTACGAGCACACTCACACAGAAGCACACTCCCGTAGGAGCACACGCCCGTAGGAGCACACTCACATAGAAGCACACGCCCGTAGGAGCACACTCACATCGAACTTGGCCTCCGCCAAGGAGGAGATGCCGAGGATGAGGGACGAGGACACCGTCGCTGCAGTCGGCTTGAACCTGAAACAACAATGTTACAATGTAACAAAGATGTCAGAATGTCGCAAAGATGGCACAATCCCACATTGATACTCCTTCGTAGCAACGGGTCAGCAGAAACAACATTAACCAGGTAACTGCAAGTCCTACTTCGTGAATTGTCGCTCACAAGACTTGAAGCATGCAATGATGGAACCGAAAGGAACACGCAAGGCAACTCAGTCCATGCAATCAAATCCCGATTCGGTTTGTCTTGCCACGTGGCGAAATCCTCTCACCTCTCGAACTGGTCGCCCACGATTGTATCGGGAACGATCTCGCTGCTCCGTGAAATGACGTCCAGCTCCGAAGGAGAAACTGCAAAGAATAAAATTATATCAATTTATACCATACAGAAACAGAGAAAGTAACTTTCCCGGTTCCATAAGTGCGAACGCCTGAGAAAGGGTGCAATCCTCCTTGGACCGTACAGCAAGGATATATAATGACATGACCGGCCTACCAGCCATAGCGGCGTGAATGGAAGCGGAGCATCTTGCAACGAGGCGGCATCCGGCGTTCATGCGAGCACAGGAGGGGGCGGGCCGAGGCAGGGGCGACGGGATGAATGCCGTTTTGGCGGCCACGACCACCGACGGCTTCTGCCGAGAGGGAACGGTGAGAAAGAAGAACAATACAAGGTTGACTTGCGGGAATGAATGCGGTTTTAGGCGCCACGACCCCCGAAGGTTTCTGCCGAGAGAGAACGGTGAGAAAGAGGAATTATGAGCAAATCGAAGTTGAGATAGTGGAACTTGTCCAGAAAAAAGTCGGAGTTGATTTTTGGGGAAATAGCGACTCCAGTTTCTACTCACCCGTGGAGGGCTTACCTGGAAAGCGGACGAGTTCAGCTTGATGCCGCATGAGACGCTGA